CACACACACACACACACACACACACACACACACACACACACACACACGTAAATGGCTCTGCTACTTTATTCTGTTACTAACCTGTAGTACTTTAAACAAAAACAAAAAAAAATGATAAATATAAACAGAGTAAGAAGAGATACTTACTGCTAATTTGCCAGAAATGGCTTCTTTCCCCGGAAAAACTGAACCCTCCCACGTCAAACAGGCATCAGCACTCTAAGAAAAAAGCATGTTAACATTAAGTAACATTATGCAGAGGGGTCGCTCACATCTAAAAAAAACACTGAAGGCACGTGACCAAAAACAAGACGGCAATGTTGATAGAAATAAAAAAGGTCCACACACTGTGGCTCCCTGATGTGCAATATATCAGTACATCCACGAGTGAGGTTTCAAGCTAATGCAGTCCTTTATTTACATTAAATACATGCACACAAATATATATATATATATAAATAAATAAAAATAAATAAAATACACATATTTTTACCATGAATGTTGTTTTTACAACAGTAACTTCAACTGTGGTTATCAAGTGTGATGAAATTTGGTTTGTTAGTGTTGACACCACATGCTGAAGTATATCAAAAATCATTAAATGGACACTGAAAACACTTACATATAGGTTACCCAGAGTTGTCCTGTTGGTATTGTCAAACTGGTTATAATATTCTTGGACAAAGCTCTCTCCAATCTTTTGCCATATTTCTTTCTCGCAGGCCATCTGTGAAGCTTTGGATCTGTGAAAGAGAAGAGTCTCGTCAAAGTTGCAGTAGGCTGAACTCATGTAGACACAACATCGGGGAAGGAAGCATAGGGATCGGATTAACTATTATTATTATTAATTTGTGGGGAGCAGACTGTGAGACGATCATCAAGATAAGAGAGCAACTGGTGTAAAAGCACCGCCTACTGACCAACATAAGCTCGGTACGTGGATCGTTAGATAACGTTACACAAATACGAAGAAGTTAAAGTCATAATCTAGATTAAAAGAAACAGTTTAAACTGCTAAAAGAAAAAAAATTATACATGGGTGTAATCCGTTTAATTAATGTGTTGCTTAGATGTCTTCTTATGGCATGCATGGCAATTTCTTTGCCTTATTCTGGATCCCGGCGGTGTGAAACAGACTTTGGGAGGTTCAAAACTTCATTCATAACGTTGACATTCAAACTTGAAAAAGTTTAGGCTACATCAATAGTATTAAACTATTTGTAGACATGTAATTATAGTATGATCAACTCATGCTCCAGATGGGACAGTGATATTATAAGCCTATTAATTTACGCATTCACACAGTCTGCAATATTTTTGTCAGTCGTCCTTTCTGTATTTATCAGTTTAAACTGAGTTTAACTTCATAGTATTTGTCTAATACTAGCATTCCCTTAGTTGGTAAAATATGTCACTCTACCGACCTCTCCATTTGGTGATTGATCATATGCGGCAAACACCGACCCATTTATGTGACCGCGCTCATAACCAGATTGAGAAACCTTTGGTTGATTTACCGAGTTGATAACCACCTAAGTGGGATCACTTAGCACGATCACGGTTAACAGCGTTAGTTTAGCGAGATAAGAGAAAGATATCATGGGTACGTTGAACACCCTTTGTAGTATTGGGCTCAAGGCTCCATCGTGGCTGTTGTTGCTGCTGTTTGCATTCCTTCTGAGTTAAAAAAAGAATGCACAACTGTTTTTGTTTTCCATGTGTAGCAAATGGGCTGCAACTGTATTTTGTATGCAACCCCATGTTGCAGAAGGAAAAGAGTTATCCTTGAATCCTAGTTACACAATCATGGCTTCGCTGACGATAGAGCAAAGCTCAGACTAAAGTCTTGGCCCAATTTAATAGGAGGCATTCATAAAAGAGAGCCAGAAAAACCAAACCTCATAGTTTCATATGACCCTACATATAGCACTCTACGACTCTATATAAGACCAACACAACTCTGTGTATTTTGTCACATTTACTTTCAATTGCGTTGAACACAAACATCAGAAAATGAGGAAATTAATACAAAACTGTGGGATGATGAGAAACTGTATGAGAGATTTGGACAGAGGTGGTGGTGATGGTGGTCCCAGGACTTGAGAATAGGCTCGTTGGAGTTGCTCTACCCCGACTGCATGACCCAATGCATGATGGGAAATGCCTGGCTGCCTCCGGATCAAAGAGCTGATTGGCTCTTAGATTTGACAACAAACATCACGTTTTGTAGAAAATCCTAATTTTCTGTGTAATTGTAATATTTCATGCTCGATTGTTGGCTATTAGTCGCATGTTGTGCGACGAAGGTTTAATCTAAAAACATATATTGTGCGATTGAAGATAATAATACAGCTAATTTATAATACATAAGATATGTTATCAAAACGAGCAGCAAAGTGTTTCACAGGCAGACATAAAAAGAACAAAAGATAACATACAATGCAGATACACGCATTTCCACATAAATACATATTTACAAACATGAATAAATCCGAACGAAGTCCGCAAACTACAAGTAGCCTACAAATCTAACAGGAAGTAACCGTTTCTGTGACTTCCTGTTTATTCTTTGAAGGCGGCTGAAAACTGTCCGACTTGACAGCAGTTTCAACGCCCCCTGCTGCCTCTTCCTGCTCTCGTCTACTTCACAGGCGAGGCGCAGTTCATCGCGAACGAACCTAGTTAGTCAGATCAAACCTCAACATGAACACCAAGTGGTTCGACATATAAGTTAGTTACATATATATGAGCCGTCCTTCCTGCTGAGGGATATAGCTGCGAATGAACATCAGGAGAAGCGTTTGACCTTCTTCAACATATATTTCTTCATCGTTTGCAACGATACAACTGGTCAGAACAACGGGCGCTCGATAAAGATTAGAAACAGATTACCGGGATAGCTTGAGACTTTAGGGGTTTAGCTACTACAGCCACTGTCAAACTAAAAACTAACCCCAAAAAACGTGTCCACTGTTGAGCATGGCGAGCCAGACAGCCGCAGTTAGAAGTAAATCATGGCTAACTTTAGCGCACAGATTCTGTGCGATTCTATCTTCGTTGTACTCGTCTCAACAAAAACATGTTATCACAACTTGTTGTCGGGAAGCTTTACTTAAACAGTATTTTTTTTACCGTGTCCGTAAATTTCAGTTTACTTTTTCAATCCGCTGCATGAAGATGGATCCAATCGAGGCTGCTGGAGTTCCCGCTTCCACTCCTTGTTTCCAGCTTATTGGCGGACTACAAACCAGCGTTTAAACTGCATGGCGCCACCTACTGTACCGGAGTGTGTAGCGACATGACTTTATGACAATTGTTAAGATAAAATAAAATAAAATAATCCTTTATTAGTCCCGCAGCGGGGAAATTTACAGGATTACAGCAGCATACAGAATAGTACAAACAAGAGGCATAGTAAAAAAAAAAACAAGATCAAAACAAGTATTATAAATAAGTAAATAAATAATAAAACAGTAAAGTAAAAAAGTAAAAAGATCCACAATAACTAAAATACGATATATACAGATAAAATAATTGTTTGTATTGCACAGTGTATTTATACTGCACAGATTTTTTATATATAAACAATATGATTGTTATTTCAACACAATCATATTGTTATTATTCTAAATTAAATAAATTAAAAGGAAAAAAAGACTTCATAAAGAAGTTATATTCTGGATATTAAACCCGTTCCATTCAAAAATGTAAATAAAACCCTTTTAACCTGAACTTGTTCGTCCCCTGTCTCTAACAGTCCTTTGATGCTCTTCCTAAAGCGACCACACTGCCCTTCAGTCTTTCTCTTTCCAACACCTTCTATTCTACATTTACTTCCATCACTTCTCACTCTGACTGATGTCTGAATTTTGTTATAATTTCTACCCTTATTGTCAGTAATCCAAATTTCCTGCCACGATGTCATTATTTCGTGCTGTATTAGGCCTACTGATTTTGCTTCTGACCTCCCAAAACAAATTTCTACAATATAATTTTTGTTTAATGCGCTTTTGGCAAGTTTCTCTGCAACATCCCTTCCCTCTATTCCAACATGAGCCGGTGCCCAACAGAAATGCACATCTATTACTAAATGTTATAAGTTCAGACATATAAACTTCAGTTAAAAGATCCTCTCGTACGGTTTGCCCGGATTGTATACTTTGTATTGCAGCTGCAGAATCTGAACATATACAGTAACTACTTTCATTGGTTTAACCTCCTCCACCCACTGAAGACTGAGGATAACTGCTGTCAGTTCTGCTCAGTACACTAATTCTTTTAACAATTCCTTTGTTGGATTCCACCAGCAATGCATTGATGGGTGTGGTTTTGACTGCTCCCAAACTAAGTCTTATGGCTCTGTATTGTAGTCTAATTTTTCGAGATTGCTTTTTGCTGCTGCTTCGTACATCATGCAACCATAATCCATAAAGGTTCTCATCAAAGCCCTGAATAAATGTAGTAATGCTTCTTTGTCAGCTCCCCATTCCACCTTCCTCGGAGATATGACAAACCGATGACGTCGATTACAGCTGACCAATGAAGGCCAAGTCTAATTTATATTGTTGGTCTGGAAGGAGCTTTTCCTCCCCGATTTGTCCCATCTCCAACAAGCTCAACGCCCCGAGCCTGATACGGATGGTTGGCTGTTAGGGCCGTCAAATCCCAGGAAAGGAGGCGGGATTTGTATGCAGACTAAAAGCAAATCTGCCTGAAAAACTGAACTCAGGGCTCAAAGAATCAAACCATTTAAACTTGTCTCAAATTAGTCTTTTATTAGTCTGGTTATTAAAAAACACATACCAAACTTAACATCTTTATTCCTAACTATTTTGGCAAACAAAGAATCAAATAAGTCATAGGTATCGTCTCCCATGAACGAGATCCAAGCAACCTCCAGTTATTGTTAGAAAACTCCATCGAGGCTCCAAGCCTGGCCCAAACTTTCATCATGAACTATACACCAACAACTCAACTATAGTGTGCTTTTATTGAAAAGGTGCTATCAAATATGTAGCCCCATGTCAATGAGGCAACTGTCATCCACAGCCAGTAACTCAGGCTAACAACAAAGCAAATATTATGAAAATGGGAGACATTATATGCTGAACTGGATGAGATCCATATTGCTCGGGGAGAGTGATGAGACATTAGAAATACAGATGAATTAATTAACAGCGTGCACGTTTTTACAAACCCCAGTAACAGGAATGTAATTTATAAAAAAAAAACAAAGCTGGGTTAATTCTTTATGCAATACATCTTAAGATCTTCACAAATACTTCCGTTGTGCCTTGTTTACGCCATCATATTGGCAAGTGGGATGACTTTGTCCTCCTGGCTCGTCACAAATCGGATATCTGACGTCGTTGACAGAGATAGGACCCATTTAGGCACTTTTAAAATCATTTTGCTACAGTTCAGTGCTCTTACTGCCAGGAAAATGACACTCAAAAAACGCAGTCTTCCCACACTCCACTTCCAGTGACTTGCTCAGAAAAGGCTGCTATTGCTTTGTTTGAGGCCGCCGCACCAAAAGATCCTCTTGCAATGGATGGCAGTAAAAGTTGTCTCTACAAGTTTCACCCAACAGGCCTCTGAGGTTAGAACCACGTGATGTGTTGAATGTTTTAGCGCGTCACTGCTCTGGCTGGGATGTGAAATAATCGTCCGTCTGGAACACACTGGGGATCTCTTGACGCTGATGTGGTGCTGGTCTCCTTGGGCTGGCCGGTTTCTGTGTAGTGAAGAGACAAGAAATGAATCCTAATTATCCAATAGCACTGCCTGGAGTAGATTTTAAATGTTTATTGGAAAAGGGTCCCTGTTTCACACCATAGTCCACTGGTTATTTCAACTACATAAAGGCGCGCTCACGTTTAAGAAGCCCGGTACACTCATTGTGCGGAGGATCTTCTTGAAAGCACCCGGAAGTGTTCCTAGGTCTCCCTCTGCCTGCGTGACCTGCTCCTCCATTGCATTGACGTTGGCCCCCACCATCTTCACAAAGGCCTGCAGACACACCAGAATAATATTAATATATCAAAAACCTGATCAAACAGAGATTATGCGCAGCATTTATTCATGATAAAAACTGCATTGAGGACAATTCAACATCACACCGACATAAAATTAAAAGTTCCACAAGCCCATGCAGGCATTTGAATATATTTTTCACAATCTTTAATTTGATCTTTTTTAAAAATAGTAGGCAGATTAGCAAACTCGTAAAATACATTTGAAATAACTGAATTTAAAAAAAAAAAAGAATAAATAGAATCCAATACTAAAAATAATAACACAATAAATTGAGAAATATTACATTGCCGGAACATTTTTGTGACCATTTTTTGTGAATGTAACAAAGAAGACTTTAGTCGATGAATGAAAGTGTATGAAACCACCAACCTAAATGTTTTTGTAGTATTATTAAGCTAGTATTCAATCTTGCAAAAATGAAAAGCATCACTTACCTCTAACTTATCAATTCTTCTGTATATTTGTCTCATTTCATCCGACTTCTGCTGGATTTGAGGTAGGTTTTCATTCACTATCTGGGAGGTATCATTACGGATCTAAAGGGAAAAAAAACACAAAAAGGATGTGAGAAACAAATATGTATATTAATAAAAATGAGATGCAATGCATTCATAAGATTTATCAGTGTAATAGCCTGACTTGGCTTACCATATCCAGCATTCCAACAAACTCATCTACTCTCGTCAGCATTTCTTCCAAGCTCTTGTCCAAGCACAGTATCTAGAGGAGAAATCATGAAAAAGAAAAGTCACAAAAACTATGTAGAAACCATAGCTACTTTAAATACACAAAATGAACGGAGTCAGCTTATGTGACTGTTTCTGTGCACATTAACACCAGTTCCACACACCAGTTACAGCTGGAATTCAATAAAAAGCCTTTAAATTGAGACCACAGGGCCAAAACAAGGTATCACGCATTTCCAGTTATTGACTCAGGAGTGACAGCAATGTGGTCAGTTTACAAAAACGAGACAACCGTCTCCTTAAGCTGAAGACATGCACTTTTTGGTGTTGACATTGTCATCAACCCACTGTCAGTTCGGCAATTCATGTTCATCTTAATTAGTTTTATTTGAACGTCGCATGACTTGGACTCAAGGAAGTCGGTCTTGAGTCATGACTCCAATTTCTCGTGACTTCACTTTTGACTTTTGACTTGTAAGTCCTTAAACAAAGTGTATCAAATCTGCTTTTTCCTAAAAAAAACTGATATAAAATCAGTCTGACAGCATCCAATCACACCGTGTTACCAGGAGGAAAACATGATAGCACATATTTATCACATTTACACGGGAAGACTTTACTGTGCATTCAACCAAAAAAGGGAGGAAACATCCATCTGAGGGAGATAACAAGATGACATCATCTGGGTTACTTCTTTTTAATCTTTGACAGCTCGCTCCAGCTTAACATAGTCGACCTCTCTCTAGTTTCACAGACTGAGTAGTACTGAACGTAATGGAGTACTCCTTTAATTAAACTCCCCCTAATGTTGTCTAGTTTAAGAGTAGAAAATACAAACTTTAGGACCTGTACCTGACTTGGGACTTCACAGTTTTGACTAAAGACTTAGCTAACCTAACACTTATTTGAGAGACACTGACTCTGTCCCATCTCTGTCATGAAGTCTCCACATCCCAGCAACCAATCATGTTCAGTCTTTGGGTCCATACCTGCACCGCTGGTTACCTGCAGCAATCAATTAGCCAAGTATACACACTGCAGCAATATAAGTGTGTGCTACATTAACGTTACATCGTAAACAAGACGCTAACCATGAGCACACATACCTCTTCTCCAGCCGTCGCCTTGATGTAGGAGGAGTAGCTGAGGGCGGTGTGTCTCAGGACCTCGTCGTCCTGCTCCGGGTACTGCTGGTCGGGTGTCCCGGGCTCCGCTGCCTCGCTGAGACTCGGGCTTTGAGGAATACCGTTGGCGGCTGCGCCAAAGCTGGGGCTCTGCGACACGGTGCCGCTGCTGAGGATTTCGCTCACCATGGACAAGCTGCTCGCGCTTTGCGACACGATGCCGCTGTCCCGACTTATCTCAGCGCTGGACTCCTCCAGGGGAGACAGAAGGCCCACCCTGTCAACCCGATGATGGTCCATATCGCCTTGTCTTTCTGATCAACTGCCGTGTTTTGCCCTGTCAACTGACTGGATCACGTGTGTTGCTCGGCCGATGGTGACTCGTAAGGGTCAAAACAGTGCAGCGCGAACAAAGCAGAAGCAAATTTTTACTCTTGGTCCCGATTTCATATAAATATTCGATAAATGTATTGATTGAAGTCAAAGCAAATGCAAAGCACAAACCCTAAAGCAAATGAAACACAGAACGATAATCATTAACACTGTGGTATACATCTGCAGTTGGGATGTGCTATTTAAAAAAAATGGTTTGAAGCAAAGTCTTGTTCTGGAAAAATGGTCATATCAATGATAAAATGCAGATGTCAGTATTTTGTGACTGATTGTCATTGCCTGTAATGTACATTTCATGACATGCTATGTTGCAGTCTCGGCCAGCAGATGGCAGTCAGAATTACTGCATGGAAATGGACTGTTTGCAGAGACATTAACTATAGCATTGGTTAAAGTTTGTCACACCTTTCAACATACTAATTGTCAAATAGAATTGAACCGTTTATTTGGAGAGAAGATGCAGCAATGAATCCCCCTTCAAAATAAAATACACATTTGAACATGGTCAAGTGATCCCATTTGAGTATTTTTTGCACATCAAATTTTGAATTTCCTTATTTTTGATGTTCTTTTCAAATGTAATCTTGAACAGGACTTTGTCAGCTTTAATCATTCTACACTTGATACTCAAATTGCCAGCTGACCACCTGTGTCACAAGTGAGCACAGCATAGTTATTCTTTCACTCATCAGTGCTCAAACTATTTCAATCGAGAAGGACCTACTGCATGTGCATGTCTTGATCTGTTAGCTGTTTGAGCAGTGGGGCATCTCAAGTAAACGCAGCAGACAAACATTCATTAACAGAGAGGTGAAAGGCATTTGCTGCTGCTAGCGGGCCTCTGACCGAGGACAAAGCTACTGCATGTCCATGTTCAATAGCTGGGATTATGATTAAGACTGAATGCGTCTGAAAAAAGGAAGTCAATCTTTTAATATTCTGTCTTCACCATGTGATGTATAGAGCACATTATTTCGTGACGTAACTTGACCTATGAATCCCACCCAACCTAACTACTGCCTTCAACAGGCATGAACATGCAACAAACTGCAGATTTACATTACAGGAATAAGGAATGAAAAGTGCTCTAAAGTTCAACTTTGAACAGTCGGATTATCAAAAATAAGCGTTTTGTGTAGTTTGTTAGTTAGTCACTGAAATGAAAATATCTTTACTGTAAAACGGTGATAACACTACTAGTAATTTCCAGAAAAAGTCACACCCCTTTACTACATGTTTTGTGGTTATGCATTCCTCGTATATAGACGCTGCTGTCATAATGATTTGCTTTGTTGACTGTCAGCAGTGAGTCTGGAGAAAAGCCTCCGACTTTAGTTTCTGAGGGGCTTATTCCAAAACTTGACGTTTTGGGTTGTTTTCATGCTAAAACCCTGTGAAGCTGGAAATATCTCAGGATGCAACTTTGTCTTTCCTTTAAACCTGCATCTCCTGTATGTTTAGTAGACAAAGCGTTTCTTTGCTACAAATGTTTGATGAAACAAATCAAATTGTAGCAAATTTATGCACACACAACTAAGTGACAAAGTGAGGATATTAAGGAAGGTGTTAATCTAAGACTAATTGAATCACAGAAACTTTCATGTCTTAAACTTTAAACCTTTTAAACTTTGTTTTTTCTTTCATTATATATATATATATATATCACTGAATCTATCCAGTCTTCAAAAACCAAGAACATTGTAGTTTTAACAGTAAAAGAAACCACTATAGCTCTAGCACTCGATGGCTATGAAGTTGTTGGAACTCCAAAATTAAACCATCATCCATAAATGTAACTGCTGAACCAAACATCACATTTCTAGCTCGCAGACTTGGAATAATTTATTGGAACAGATACAAGGATTTGATCACATTCATCAATGCATAAAAGAACAATTAAAAAAAAAAGATCATACTCTAAACAGCATTTATCAGAATATAAGAAATATAGATTTACTCTTTAAAAACATCCATAAGCCACCCCAAGTTGGTCCCAGTAATAAGAATGAAAAGGATCTTAATAAAAGTGGTCACTAACAACAGATATTAGGCTGTAGGCACATTCAGAATTCTACTATACAGTGGACTCACCTAAAAACAGTTATTTGTTCTGATGCTTACGACATACATACGTACAAATCCTTTGATTTCAGACAAAGACAACCTTAAAAAATACAGGAAATATATACAATACATTTTCCTTGTTTCCTGGCTTGTAACTTCCAATTATCAATGATCTCGTAAAAACAAACAGAAGTCACAAAATGAGTATCTGACAAAACCCACTAAAGCTCATATTTATCCGGCCTGGTATTCCAGTTTAAGTCTCTGAGCAGTTGGGATGTTTCCGTCTCTGTGTGTGTGTGTTTATAAGCATTATAGGGTAATGACGGTGCCGTCCTCCTCCACCCCTCCCCTGGGCAGTGCGAGGCTGTGTCGTGGGTCTGTTTTCAGGGAGCTGAGGATTTTGTGCAGGCTGCCGTTGCTGTGGCGGAGGGCTGGGTTGCTGCTGTGATGCGGAGGCTGTACTTGGTGATGGCGGTGCTGGGACTGCTGGTGCTGAAGGTTCAGGTCTCTGTGGAGCTGGTAGCTGAGGCTGCTGTGGTGATGGTGGTGGTGGTGGTAGGACCCTCCGTTGAGGCTCGGCTGGGAGTGAAAGGAGGCAGTGGAGACCACCGATAAAGGACGTGTGGGCGGGCTTGGAGGTGCCGCTGGGCCTGAAGCTGTTGTCGGTGTCTGTTGGTGCGTGCGAGACGCACTGGACGCCAGGGAAGCGTTGGACCTCTGAGACGGCCGCTTCAGGCTGCTCTCAATGACAATATCGGTCTCTTCGTCACTCTCCAGATCGTCTTGGTAACCATGTGCTCCAGAGGACATCGCCCCCACAGAGGCCACCGACAAACTGGGGTAACCCGTCGATCCGCTGCTGTCAGACGACTGGCCTGAACTCCCCGAGATCCTGCTGCTGCGGACCACATTGTTGCGCTGGTTCACCGGCTTGACCGTCACGATCAGGTTGTGGCTGTTGGCAATCATCATATCCGTTACCTGATCTAAGGACTTCCCAGTCACTTCAATGCCGTTAACCTCCAGCACCTCGTCGTTAACCGCCAGCAGCCCGGTGCTCTCAGCCAACCCTCCAGGCACCATGCGAGATATGAAGATGCCGGGGACTTTCTCGAGCCCGTGTGGGGTCACACGCACGCTGGTTCCGTCTCGGATGTAAAAGCCCAGGGGTTTGTCCGAGCCGTGACGATACAGTCGGACACGGCGGTGAGACTCAGGTAGGATGTCCACATCAATGATGGAGGAGACGGGCCGGAAGTCCTGCGGCATGCCGATGCGGATGTGTGGCCGCTTGCGGTTGATGTCATTATTGCGCAGTGCGACGACAACCGCCTTCTTCTTACGAGTTATCGTGTTGGTGCCGTAGTTGGCATAGTCGACCTCTTCTGTAAAAAAGGGAGACAGAGAAGCAAAAAGTGTAAGAAATTAAGTTTCATCATTGTTAATATGCAGGCAACACAAATTGAAAACGTTCTTCCTTCCATGTGTACAGATGTTAAAGGCAACAAGGGAAAATCTAAACACCATAAAAGGCACAAAAAGATTGAGAGGAGGATCTGGAAAATTAAAACAAACTGACAACAGAAAAGTTTCCATCCTGGAACTAGAAAACATGTGCATGAGTCTCTGCCTACATCTTTAAATCAAACCGCCTGCTTTACACATTCAACAACCTTTGATCAAACTATGCACAGATGTGTCTGAAAATAACTTTTCTGTGAAAGACCTGCTAATCATTTATATGGATTGTATTCCATGTGTGGCTTAGCACAGTCGTCATTACTGATGCCAAAAACAAGGCCAGAGTTATTGCTGGTTTACTCCACAAGCGAGTCCAACCTATGTATGAAAAATGACATGCGAGCATGTGAACTGGATTCACATAAGGCTAATAGTAAGACTCTCTCTCTCTCTCTCTCTCCCTCTATGCGCATATTCGTATAAAACGCTGAGTGTGCAGAGCATTCCTGCCGGTGCTGACAGAGGAGACCCACCCATTTGCTACCAGGCAGCAGCTGTAGAGATCTCTGGTGTGCATTTCTACACAGGCACATACATGCATTACCTATCCTCAGTACAAACAAGGAAGTAAAGAGACCCCAAAGGATATACAACAACGTGGAAAGAATGAGCTGCAAGGGAAGATCAGCATGTTAATCTCAGTTAAAGCACGATGTTTCCAACCAGAGATTTAGAGCAATCAATAAAACAATGAAATCCCTTATAGAGGAATTACTTCTTCAGAACAACATAGCCGCTGCCAAACATGCTCACGGACTTGCTTAGATAAAATAGAGGGAGGATTGAGGCTTTGCAAGAGTCGAATGAAAAATATACTTGAGAAAAAAAAAAATGCCTGAATGCCTTTATTGAGTTATAGTTCTGATAAAGACATGATAGCGAGAAATGATACAGAGCATGCTCCATGACAGAAAGAAAAATAACTTGTGTGCTCTCTAATCTTTAATTCTCAGGCGGACAGGAAATCTGGACACAGCAAAGCCTGATGTGAAAGGAAGTGAGGGTCCACAGGCGGGAGCATCGGCTCCTGTACTTCCATGGCAACGGCGAGGAGTCATCTTTTACCCTGCTGTTTGGGACACCTGCTTTCCGAAATTATTATGGGCAAGCATGTTGAAATTTTTGGCCCCATCTTCAAAGTACACCGTGGAAGGTGAGAACCCCGAATATGGAGTCTCTGAGCAGAGCCAGCTGGCCAGTCGACCCTTCGGCCTCAGGGGAGTGTGGACGTCTGCCATACACCTCCCTGAGCAATGCCGACTCATCATTAATACAAGTTTCCTTCCCCCCACCGTCACCTCTTGCTCCTCCTGTGCAAGAATGTTGAGTAAGCAGCATGTTTTACTACAGCCTCACAAATGAAGGGTCTGAGGGGGTGGGGAAATAGTGTGAAAGTCACTGCCATGAGAGGAGAAGCAGCTTTTGTTTGTGTCAGCAGTGTCACAGACCACAGTACACATGGGGAATGGGTGACGACTACATTGGGGGGTAATTAACAATGATAAATGAGTGTTAGTGATAAAGTAGATTGACGTCTCTTGGCACAGGATGAAATAATGTTAAGTGCTCACAGAGTCGAGCCAAACTGCCATGCCAAAACTGCGTTATACTAGATAAAGAAAAAGCCGTATCTTATCAACTTTTGCTGCTTTCAAATTTAAAAAAAGTCCTTTTTCAATATGCCATTTTAAAAGCAACCAATCTGAATATCATCAAACTTAAAGTGCATGGTATTCTTAGTTTTCTGGACATGTGTTGGTAAAAGCTGATTTGATTGAATCCAGACAAATAATTTGCTTCAGGGCTGGAATTTCTGCCACAAGTGCAAGTCTCCCTGATGGGAACCATGTTGGAGGGGATCGCTGCAGAGTCTCATTACAGGTCTCTGGTGCAACACCCTCCACCTTCCACACCCGCACCTCAGTCTGAAACCACATGGCACACCACATCACCAGCGTCTTTAGGAGGACAGAAATGTGTACAACTATAAGCATGCTTTCTGGTTATAATGTCTCACAGCTGTTCTGCATAATCCCATAAGAAGCCCATGTTGGCATAATTCGTTTAAAGAAACCCACAGAAGCAAAGACATGGGGTGTGTTTGATATGTCCTGGGGCACTAGCTGAAGAGGAAAGATTGAAGTAACGCTGAGCAGGGGTTAAAGCTGGGTGTACACCGACTCATTTTAAAGGGTCTATGTCTAAATGATGTTTCACTGATGTCCTTTATTGTTCAGCAATGTAACCAACAACAATTTCAAATACAAAAAAAAAAAAAAACCCCACATCTCTCCCCTCTATTTCTGTTTCTAAGTAGGTAAGACCAGCAACTCAAAAGGGAAACATAGTGAGCAGAAAACTAGCCCAGTGTAAACCAACCGATACAAAGTCAACACCTGTGTAAGTGTAACGACAGCGGTTTACCTCACTAAGAAGTCAATTAAAGTATCATGCTTCATGTACGAGTCTATGTAATTACCAAACATCCAGAAATGTCAATGCGAACCAAGTATGTACAAGGAAGGGTTTTTAACAACAATGAAAACTGAAGCAGGTGAAGCAGTCAGTTGAAATTCTCACATTCAGCAAACCCTGAATTCACTACAGGAAAGCGGAAACACAGTATTTACCTTTTAAGTGCACCAGAGCTAGAAGAAACAGTTGATTAATCAAAAAGTCTGTCGACAGAAAATTGGTCTGCAACTATTTTGGTTATCAATTAATCGTTTAAGCCCTTTTTCGGTCAAAACACATGCTCTGGTTCCAGCTTGTCAAATGTAAGAATTGTTGCATTGCTTTATCTTTAATTGCAGTAATAATTGTATAATAATTACAAA